AACCCTTACCTGCGGATTTCAAGTATCTTTATCATTGCAAATCGTGGCCTATTTGCAGTGGAATATACGCGGCCTCGGGTAATCGGAGTGAGCTTCAGATGTTACTCTCCCAGTTTGCCCCTGTTGGTGTTTGCTTACAGGAACCAAAATTACACTCTGCTGTTAACTCTCCCATCTCAGGCTATAATTGTATTCTTCAGATCCTTTTCCTGATGGGACCTTTAATGAAAGTGCCCTTCTTCTACGCACTGATATTCCGTACCATCAGCTATTTATTCATAATTCGCTGCATTACACAGCAGCCAGTATCCACTTCCATAGGTGGTATACGCTCTGTTCTTTATATCTCTCTCCTTCTCGGGCATTTTCTATTCCGGATATTGACTTTCTTGTTTTGTCATTACCGCCACCGATTCTCTTGCTTGGTGATTTTAATGCCCACCATTTCCTCTGGGGGGGGGGGTCTCATTGTGATTCCCATGGAATTCAGTTAAAGGCTTTTCTTGCCACCCACCCCCTCCATGTTTTAAATACAGGTACGCATACCCATTTTGATCCTCGGACTCGTACTCTTGCATCGATCTGTCTGCTCTTCCTCCACCGCATTAGACTTCACTTGGTCTGTTCTCCCGGACTTGCATGACAGCGATCATTTCCCAATCATTCTTACTTCACCACCTCTTTGCATCCCACGCTGGCAATTTGATCAGGCATATTGGAACCTTTACTCGCACCTAACTGTTTTTAGAGGTTCCTTCTTCGTCCTCCATCGATGAGCTTTTACACCTCTCCTCGTCCTCGGTTTTAACCGCAGCTTCTCATTCTGTACCCCAAACTTCGAGCAGGCATTCTCAGAAATGCGTGCCTTGGTGGTCTCCTGCTTGTGCAGTACGTTTGAAACGCGCTGCATGGGGCAGGTACCGGTACAATAGAACCAGACTCCTTGATTTTAAACAGAAGCGTGCGATCGCTTGCCATGTCATCCGTGACGCTAAACGCACTTGCTGGCGAGATTGTCTCCACCATCACCTCTGCTTCCTCTGAGTGCAGTCGGGTTGCTGGTGTTGATATAGCAAACCCACTAGATGTTGCCAATGAAATTGGCAATCATCTGGTCCGTATTTCTCAGGGACTCCATCTATGCCCCTGATTTCTTTCCTCAAAGTCTGCCAGAGTTAGCACCCTTGGACTTTTCTTCTCTCAGAGAAGAACAGTATAATGTGCCTTTTACACTTGAACTGGAGGCAACACTCTCAGCTTGCTGATCATCGGCAGCTGGGCCCGACGACATTCATATTCGTATGCTACAACATTTACATCAGTCAGCCCTTGCAGTCCTATTATGCCTTTACAATCTTATTTGGTCACAAGGAGTTCTTCCACAGCTGTGGAAATCCGCCATTGTTCTCCCTATCCGCAAACCAGGCACTACGGGACATGAAACCTCCCACTATCGTCCCATTGCTCTTACCAGTGTAGTTTGCAAAGTAATGGAATGCCTAGTAAACAGACGTTTAGTGTGATATTTAGACTCTTAAGTCCCTCCACTCGTCAATATGGCTTTCGTAAGGGACGTTCTACCATAGACCCCTTACTACGCTTGGATACGTATGTTCGTAATGCCTTTGCGAATAACCACTCGGTTATTGCCATATTTTTTGACCTTGAGAAGGCATATGACACAACTTGGAGGTAAAATATTTTAGCCCAAGCCCACTCCTTAGGCCTTCGAGGCAATCTACCATCCTTCCTTAAGAACTTTTTAACTGACAGGCATTTCCGTGTTCGGGTTAATAATGTGCTCTCCCCGGACTTTATCCAAGCTGAAGGTGTCCCCCAGGGATGTGTTCTGAGCACGCTTTTTCTCTTGCTATTAATGATTTGGCCTCTAGTCTTCCATCAAATATTTGGTCATCACTCTGTTGATGACTTCGCTATTGCTTGTGCAGGCGCTGACTGTCACCTCATTACAGTTTCTCTCCCACATGCAGTCGACAGCGTTTCCAATTGGGGCCACCACACGTGGGTTTAAATTTTCCAGCACTAAAACCCACCAAGTTACTTTCACTAGACGCTCTGTCATCTCCGATCATCCTTTGTACCTCTATGGCTTCCGTATCCCTGAACGTGATACAGTAAAGTTTCTGGGCCTCCTCTTTGATCGTAGGTTATCCTGGAAACCTCGCATTACCTCTCTGAAGGCAACTTGTCGCAGCCGGCTGAACCTTCTTAAAACCCTTGCTCGTCTTTCATGGGGAGCTGATCGTCGAACCCTCCTCCGCCTACATTCCACCCTTATTTTATTGAAACTTGATTATGGTGACCAGATCTATTCAGCGGCATCTGCTACTCTCTAGCCTTAACCCCATTCATCACCAAGGATTACGTTTGCCTTGGTGCTTTTCGCTCTTCCCCTGTCGAGAGCCTCTATACAAAAGCGAACGTTCCATCCTTATCTGATCGCCGTGATGCCCATTGCCTGCGCTACTATGTACGCTCTTGTGATCTCCGCAATCCTTCCATTTATATTAGTAGACATTGTTTATTTGTTCGCCGCCCTTGTTTACTCCGTCCCTTCTCTCTTCGCCTTCATTCGCTCATCTTCTCCAACTACCACCTTTCTATGTACATGTAGCATTTCGCTTTTCCCTACCCCCCTGGGAAGTTCCAGCTGTTAGTCTGTTCTTTCTCCCTCCCTTGCTCGAAAGCCCAACTGTCTATGGTCGCTTCCCGCTCTTTCTTTTGACCACTTTCACTCTCTCATGCCATTGCCGTGTACACAGATGGCTCTGTCTTCTGATGGCGTAGGATTCGCAGCAGTGTTTCCGGACAGCATCATACAAGGGCATTTACTATCTTCGGCTAGTATTTTTTACTGATGAATTGTATGCCATCCTTACAGCACTTACCTGTATTGCATCTATGCCTGTCATCATTTGTGGTTGTCTCAGACTCCCTTAGTGCTTTACAGGCTATACAAAAATTTGATACCTCACTCCTTAGTCTTCCGTATCCAACTTTGGCTACGCCGCATCTTTACCAAGCATAGATATTGTTTTTTGTTGGGTCCCTGGTCATGTTGACGTACAGGGCAATGAACAGGCAGACACTGCTGCGCGGTCAGCAGTACATGACCTACCAGTTTCTTAGAGGTATTCCATTTACGGACTATTTTACTACAATATCTTCCCACCTTTACACCCGTTGGCAACAACGTTGGTCTACTATGCTCGGCAACAAACTTCAATCTATTAAACAGAGTGTAGGTTACTGGCAGTCTTCTTATCACCAGTGTCGAGGTTGGGAGACTACTCTCTCCCGTCTTCGCATTGGCCATACTAGTCTTGCTCGTGGATATCTCATGGAGAGGCGCCCTGCTCCTCTGAGAATTGCCAAGCTCCATTATCAGTCGGCCACATTCTGTTGGACTACCCGCTTTATCAACGAGCACGCAGAATTTACCTGTCGTCGTCGCTCCGCTACTCTTTACCTTCCCTTCTCGCTGATGGACCCACCTTTCATCTGGACTCTCTCATTGACTTTTTGACAACTGACTTCACAAATTTTGATACCTTCAGCCCTTTCTACTTCAATCTCTTGCTACCCTCTACCCCCGTCCTGCTGTTTTCTGTAACCTGCTGATCATCCCCCCTCCCTTCTGCCATCCAATACCCTCGCTTCCTTCCCTACCCTGCAGCGCTGTATAGCCCTTGTGGCTTAGTGCTTCTTTTTGATTATAATATGTCAGTTTACGTGCAGCCAGCAGTAACAACGGGGGCGCTCGCCCCCGAAACCTTCAGGTATACGTGTGGATGTAAGAGGGAGGGGGGGTAAGAATTCGATTTCCTTTTTAGTCTCCAGGGATCGACAAACTGTTCCGGGGGGGGGGGGGGTAAACTATCCATAGATCCTTTAATGGTTACTAGGTGGGTAACGAGACTGAGTCGCGCTAGTGTGATTTCACTTTAAATGTCTTGGCCAATGGTGCATCCAGGATTTCCATCTGAAGGAAAAGGCTTAAAAATCATTAGTGGTAGTTTGAAGTTGAAATTTCTTGGCTCCTTCGTGGTCTGGCAAAGACGCATAATGGAATTCTAGTGACTGCTGCTAGTCTAGCTATGCATGCTGTGTGTTCTGAATTACATACAGGGCTTTGCAAGATGCCTTTTTTGCCAGATACTTAAGCTGTTGGCATTCTAGCAGGAATTTTTCTAATTAATTAAAAAGGCTATTTTTAATAGGTTGAGTAGAGGCCAGGAGGGGAAGACACGCCCATAAGTTTGGTATTTTAAAATTAAACTCGGACCTTCTGATTATTGCTTATGGCAGTTAATGGCGACCTAGTCACTTGGCAACTGCAAATGCATTTAATTTCCTGTAGTTTGGAAAGATACAGGCCTCTCATATTTTACTTTCCCATTACTCGTAGTAAATTTAGTGCAGAGGGGCATTAGTTAAATGGAAAAACAAAAAGGCAGAATCCTTTAATAGCTAAACAGCATATACTGTGGTCGTCATGCCGTGGAAGTTTGAGCGGTTTAGCTTAGCCTTTGACCCCCCCCCCCTTTTTTTTTTATATATATTATTGGTTGGAAATCTTGGTAAATTTACTCACGCTCCTGATGTAGAAAGATTTAGATATGGATTACAGATTGTAAAGTGTTTGCATCTTTCTTGCGTTGTGATGTTAAAATCGTAACTGTCGTTAGTCAAGTTTGTATTGTTAGTGTAAATTTAACTACTGAATGTTTGAAGCTTGCTGAACCTTTTGATTATTCAAAGTAATGAGTGATAAATGTACTGTTCAACTCTAATCTAATTTAATTTAAATTTCCCTCAATTTAATATTTTGAATTGACTACGTACTTTCTCCTAATTTAGCTAATTCGGCTAACTGATGACTCTAAAGTTGACCCCCGCTTAGTATACCATAGCTTAAGTCTAAAACTAGTGACAATAAGACTGCCCGTGAAGCTCCTGATTGACACTTTTTTCTGGAGAATCTTGGCTCGCTGATCCGCATGCCGTATGGATGCGGAGAACAGAACATGATCAACCTGGCCCCCAATATCTTCATCCTGGAATACTTGGACGCATCTAGACAGACTACTCCTGAACTACGCCAGAAGCTTTTGCAGTTTATGGATACTGGTATGTGAACCTCTTTAGATTAGCCTTTTATTAATAACTTTTAAAGCTTAACAAGCAGTTTCAGGTATTGGGTGTATAAAATTAAAGCTAAACATAAACTAGCCACTTAAAACGTGACCCATAGTGATTCAAGTTAAATAGTTTTTCTGCATGAACGCAACTACCTTTAATTTCGCTTTAACTGGTGAAGTAAATATTCCGCCAAACTGGTAATTGTGATCATTTTAGCTACCCCTGGTCGTGTAACTGAATAGGTCAGTTGGTACAATCCTGTGAAAGCTGGACTTGAGCTACAGCTTAAGGTAAAGATATCCTTGGCTTAATATTCCTTCGGAACTAGTCTGTAGTGAAAGTGCTACTCGTCTGTAGTGTAATTAAACTTTAATACACAATTTCGCAAACTTAGCTTGACCTGGATGGTTAGCGGAAACCATATCTAGTGAAGATTAAAATTGGCGCCAAAAGACCATTCACTGTAAAAATAGAATTTGCATGGTTCCAGTCCCTGGACCCATTATGTACCTCTGTAATCTGGTGACTACCACCCACAGGATGGGCATGTGGGTGCATAATAAACATTAAATTAACTGCTTGTCGAAACTATCCTTTGTATCGAAACTTCGCTTCATTTCTACATGCAAAATGGGAAATTTACGAAGGGGGTGGGGAGTTAGATTAATACTACTGTTCCTCTTCATTTAGCATGGTTATCAGAAGTGCAGACAGTCTTCTTCCTCCAAAGCCTTGACAACCAACTTTCATATAGTAAAAAGAAAATGAAAGGCTGGAAATGATAGCCTTATGTATCGGCAGATTACAAACTGCCTTTCAGCTAACGCTTCAGTGAAGTTAGCTGAAGGGCATAAAACTAAATTTGTTGCATAGCTTGCATTTTTTCTAGCAATAGCTCCACTAAATGGAAGGGGAGGAAGGTGAAGGAATGTATATACCTGACATGATTGTGGCGAACGTAGTAGCTGACAATCTAAGCACGCGTGCCAGTCTTAATTGGATTTTTTTGGCTTAAGTTTGACTTCGTCAAAGTTTTCACCCTACCAGGGTATAAACCGTCACGGGGGTTTTTATCCAAGGAATTTTACTTTGCTGATCTTCTGAAGAAATAATGTTCAGGAATCACTATTAAACTGTAGTAAATAGTTTGACAGTTTGAAGGGCGTTTTCCTCCTGTATGATTGTCCCGGTCATCTGCATATCAGAGTTGAAAGAGGAAGCTATGGTCACAAAGAATGAGACTACCAAATAGGGATTGTCAAAAATATAAAAAAGCACTTTCAACCTCGAGGATTTAGTTTGAGCAGTTGCCCACAATGTACACGCTTCCTAAGTTTGGACTTGTATTTTTTTAATCGATAAAATGCATAATACAATCTTCATACTGTGTGATAAAATTTTACATTCGCGAAATGGTTTTTTTTTTCCTTGAAATGTACATATATGTATTGGTATGGAAATGTTAGATAAAAATGGAATGAATGAAATCCTACATTGGGACATGCCCAGGAACGCCAATGACCTGGACAGGTGTCCAGCATGAAATTATCCTTGAAGAGTGCATTCACTCGGTCACCCTTCTTCAAAACTTAGGTCAGTTCCAGATTACGCTGTGTATCGGGACAAGTGTAGTAGTGGCAAGTATACACTAAAATTTAAAATTGAAACCTGGATAGTAAATTTAGTCTATTTCATAGGCTACCAACACGAGCTTCTGTACCGACGTGCTGATGGATCTTACAGTGCCTTCGGTAATGCTGATCCTTCTGGCTCAACATGGCTGACTGCTTTCGTTCTAAAGTCCTTTGCGCAGGCTCGCAAATACATACTAGTAAGAGTTGTAAACGACCTAGCTGCATTACATAATTTAATGTTTCCAGAAGGTTGTGTAATGTGAACTGAATTTGTAGTGGAAGAAAATGACGGGTCGAATATGGACTCTTGCATACGCATTGAGATATTGAATTAATAAATATTTTTAGACTAGTAAAGCGGAGACTAATTATGGAAATTAGTTGGTTGACAGTAAGGTTAATATTGCCATGAAATTGTCAGGTTGACGACGTTCGTCTGAATGAGACTAGTGCATGGCTGAAGATGCAACAAAATCATGATGGTTGTTACAGGTCTGTTGGGAAAGTCATCCACAAGGACATGGCGGTAAGAATACCTTTACCAATCACTAAACTCTGCCATGTTGCAATGTGAACGTGTATTAAATGTAAAATCTCCACTAGCACATTCTTTAAATTCTTAAGAGGCTTGCCTTTGTTTGTTGAATGCAATTTTTCACAGGGTGGAATTAGCGGTAATGACACTTCTGTGCCGTTGACGGCGTACGTAATTATATCTCTGCTGGAGGCTGGCACCAGTCCCTCGGAACCAGAAGTTTCTGGAGCACTAGAGTGTATCTTGAGTAGCTCTTATACCCTTGACCCTTACGTCCTGGCACTCGAGGCCTATGCCTTGGCTCTCGCCAGACACCAGGACACTCCAAAGGTACTGCAACAGTTGCTGAACCAAGCTGTAATGAAGACTGATACACTTTTTTGGAAATTTCCAGCCAAATCCGGTATGTACATAGTGAATGTGCTTATTTGCAATAAATTTTAGTTACTTTGCCACATTGGGTAAAATAAACTAAGCTTCACTATTAGCCATTTTCTTTTTAGTGAACCAACGTTAAGTTTAATGACCATGTACACTGTAAACTTACATGATGCATTTGGGGATTTTTCGCCCTGGTGGACTTCCTTAAATCTTTGCCACCAGTGGCAATACTTGTTTGTGAATGATTCCCACCCCCCTTTGTTCATATTTTAGAAATTGCTGCGTAACTTGAGCATACTTGGCTTGATATTTTTTTTAGCTCTAAACTATAAACTGTGGACCTAGATAAAACTTCATGAACTAGAAATATGATCTTGACAATTTACTTTAATGAATTGGTACTTCAGGTAGTAGCCTGGGTTTAGCAGTAGAAACTGCCGGTTACGCAATTCTCGCGATGATGCGTAATGCAAGCAGATCTGATCTTCTAGCAAGAAAAGTTGTGAAGTGGGTCACCGCTGAAAGGAATGGCCAAGGCGGATTTTATTCAACGCAAGTAAGTTAATACGGAGATGTACTAAATATACATATAACTAACTATGAGGATTAATATAAAATAGTGTAAAGCTGATTTGTTGTAATTTACATCTAACTTGTTTCTTTTGCTTGTTTACCTCAGGATACAGTGGTAGCTCTACAAGCTTTGTCGGTGTACCAGACACTCCAGTACCAGGGACCTTTAAATGTAGATTTGACTGTGACCGCTGTTGGGTTTAATCATAATTTCAGAGTAATGGAGTCGAATAAACTCTTACAGCAATTGGTGAAGCTTACGAACCTCCCTACCAACGTCTCCATAGACATCAAAGGTCAAGGTTGTGTTGTTGTGCAGGTAAGAATTTTTTTTAAGTGGTAAAGTATTTCTTAAGGTAATTGCAAACCTCATTTTTTACCAAGTATTTTTTTTCCTTAACAGGCTGTCCTTAGATACAACATTCCTATTCCAGACTCCGGTCAAGCTTTTAGCTTGACAGTAGAGACTAAGACAGAGCCTGATGTGGCATGCATTACAAAGCGAATTATTGCCTGTGTAGCCTATATACTTGCTGATGGCGCCTCAAACATGGCAGTCATGGAAATAAGGATGATGTCGGGCTACATACCAGAGAAAAATGATCTCGAAGCGCTTAAGATGAACCCAACTGTTAAAAGATACGAGGAAGCTGGAAGCTTGGTATCTGTCTACATGAACGAGTTGACTGCAACCAGAACTTGCGTAGACTTCCGTGTAATACGTGAAGTTGAAGTAGAGAACATAAAAACGGGAACAGTGGTGGTGTACGACTACTACCAGCCAGAGTTCTCTGTCAGCAAGGTGAGACTTTTTTTTTCTAGAGGAAAAATAACTGTACATAAATATGAAATGTGCATACTTGCATTAATGTATGTCAGTAGTTAACTTGATACTGTACCCACAGAGCTACTCTCCCACCTGCTAACGAGTGCAGGTCGATTAGCCCGTGGTGAACTTCAAGGACCTAGTCTCAAACTGCTAGTGTAAAAATTAATTTTACTGTTAATAAACTTCGTTGTAACTTCTGTTTCTATTGTCTTTTAAAGGTCTTGTCTTTATAAACTAAAGTATAATAAACGGGAGCACTAAACATTTAGGGGATAAATGCTTGAAGGGGAAGGGTTACAAATTGCGTAGATACTTTCCCATCCCCCCTCCCCTCGATGGCATAAATTCATCCCTGAAGTGCTTCATGCAGCAATTTGCTACTGCAAACTCCTGGTGCCATCTCCCGGAAAATATATAAAAATATAACTTCATATAGTTAAAACTGTGCCAGTATTTTCAGGAGGGTTACGAAAGTTTCAGTCGTTGCTAAATGACTGTCGTTAGTCAATAAAAGCGAAAATGCTAGTGCAAAATGTTGGTTTCTAACGCAGGAAGAACATCTCTGAAAGTAAATTATAATAAAGGGGGAAGCGCTAAACCCGGAGGATTATACAGCGCCTGGGGGGGGGGGGAAATGTGGAAGGCATTCAGGCTAAATTCGGGGAACTGGAGCACAGATCCAATTCCCTAAATCAAGAGCCCCTCCCCAACATCAAGGAACCTTCCTTGAGGGGTGAAAGTAAATTAGAAATTCTGAATTCTCACGTGGTAACTAATCAGTTTCCACAATTCCAATAAAGGCAAATTAGGACATGCACAAAACTAGTTCGTCCATTAAGAAAAATCTTTGAAATAAAACTGGAAAGGAATTATCAGAGGGACCAATATTATAAAATTGGTTTCTACTGCAAATTTTGAGAGGCTTATGAAAATCGGCTGTGTAGCCCTAGCAAGTTTAGGGCTTTTAGATTAAATTCAAAATTATCTGCGCTGAAGAGTGAAGGCAATTGGAAGAGGCACGTGAATTATAGCACAATTTTAACTAGCATTTTCTATAAAGGCAAATTGGGATAACAGCGGGCCAACATAACCAAGTTCCTAAGCTGTACCTGCTATTAAGGTTTACGTAAACATGCCATTTTATTAACTTTGGGTATATAATGTAAAATTTTAATGGTCTTGAGCATGCACACGAACGTTATGTAGACTTAACCCAGGACGACTCAATGAAGTAAATTTGTCAAAGTTTTTCACAACAAACCTAACCCAAAATAAAGCAGAAGTTTCCTTCTTAAGGAAATAAGAATAGAGGAACACTGCCGGAGGCCTGTTGGCCCATACTAGGCAGGTCTTTCACAAATCCATCCCACTAATAGAATGTTCGCCTCATAAGAACTTAAAGGAACACTGTAACTGTAACAAAGGTTGAGGTTCGACCGTTCGTCATTGTAGGAGCTGCCAGAAATCACCGGTTCTTAAACACGCAAGTTAAACTTTTGTATCAATCAAATCACATATTACTCGGGTATATAATTTAAAGTAGATCCTTAATGTGTTAGCCCAAATCACCGACCAGTATGTTTTAAATAAGTGACCCACTGATCAGATCGACTGGTCCGAACCCTTGATGGTCCGAACCTTTGACTGGTTTCAAACGGATTCGTTGGACAATAAAGCAGACTGTAAACAGATGGGGTTGTAGGCGCCCTTATCAAACAAAACGATAAATATAAATCGGGAACGTACACGGTAAGCTGTCCAATATACAAGTACAGTTAGAAATAGAAATGCAAATAGCTCGAGCTTCATTTAAGGAGGTTATTAAGAGTATTCAAGAGGTTGCTAGTAGAATTACAGTAAATCAACCATTCAAATCATTATGAAGCTGTGTAGTCTGCAATAAATCAAACAAACGGGCTTCCACATGGATAAATTGTCATTTTTGTGGAAATTGGTGTCACGCCCCTTGTGCAGATATCCAAGAACTAGCTACAAGCAGTATTAAAACAGGGAAGTGTTTTTGGGTATGCCCAAATGAGGAAAATCTGTGGACTAAAATTACAAGGGTATTAAAAGAGGATAACATCAAAGCTGCTTTCATAGACAACCTGGAAGCTTTCTACAACAGATGGGAACATAAAAAGTCTGGGCTGAATGGTATTGCCCTTGATACTGGCAATGTAGTCAGAAACTGTAAGGCTGGAGGTGATGTCCTGGTACTCAGTAAATGTGGGGCTGATAGTGCTGTCCTGGGAGACAGTAATGGTGAAGCTGGAGATTTTGTCCAGGTAGTCGGGAATTATACGCAGGAAGGAATACATATAAATGACCTCATAGGGGACAGGAGCCGTAGTGGGGAAACAAGTGTAGTCAAAGATAAAACCAATATTGCAAACTAGAAATACCACAGGAAATAGCAAATGAGAGGACTCCACTAGCAATAGTGAGGATATATTGCCAAAACAAACTGGTGGGAGCTCCATTGTTGGTGCTAGAGAGGATAGGAATAAGACAGGGAAACGTGCACCAACAGGGAATAGTCACAAAAACCCAAGGCAAACGGAAACCAAGCCTGTGCACATACTATGCACTTGGCATCTGCAGACGTGGGAAATCTGGAAAAACAGATGGGACGTGCAACTATGACCACCCTAGAAAATGCCATGCCCATATGACAACAGGAAAATGCAAACTCCTTTCCTGTAAGCTTTTTCACCCTGAAATGTGTACCTCTTCAGTACAGGAAAGACTGTGCTATAACTTAAATTGCCAGGCACACCATCTAAAGGGTACAAAACATCCAGGCCATGGGAAAACCTGGGTAGCCACAGCCACTCAAGAGGGAGAGGTTTTTTAGTGCCAGGAAGGAAAAAAACTGGCAGAAATCGTACACCAAATCCAGTCATTCCTGGAGTGGAACCACAGTCGATGGCCTCCACTCCAAACCAACAGATACTAATGCCGGAAAAAAAATCCCCCCCCCCAGTACCAACAATACCAGCAGTACGATGACATTCTCTGCAAATATATAGGGTCTAAAGCCAGCAACAAACGACAAAATACCTTTCATCCGTGGACTGCTTGCAGAGGCAAAGGCAATGTTCGTGGCTTTCACTGAGACCCACATAAAGGATCACATGGACAACGAAATATGGATCCCAGGTTACAACCTATACAGATGTGACAGAGTGAACAGGCAAAAGGGGGGGTTGGCCTGTACATTGCAGAGTCACTTGTTTGCACAGAACTGCTAAATGCCTCAAATGATGTAGTGGAAGTTTTAGCAGTAAAGGTCGAGAACCAAAACCTAGTCATTGTGGTAGTCTACAAGCCTCCTGATGGAACATCCCAGCAATTCCAGGAACAGCTGTTAAAAATTGACCATTGTCTGGAAAATCTTCCAGCTCCTGCACCCAACATCTTGCTCCTGGGGGATTTCAACTTAAGGCACCTAAAATGGAGGAATATAGCAAATAATATTGTTGCAGTAATAACACCAGGAGGCAGCTCTGATGAAAACTCACTCGCACGAGCTTTTGAATCTGCACAAAATTCAATTTAAACCAGCAAATAGAGCCTACAAGACTGGAGAATACACTACACCTCATCTTCACTAACAATGATCTGATAAGAAATGTCGCCATATCAAAAACAATATACTCAGATCACAACATAATTGAGGTTCAGACGTGTATGTGTGGAGCCCCAGACCGACATAATGAGACTAGTCACAAGGGAGCATTGACCAAATTCAACTTCAATAACAAAAACAGTGGGACCAAGTAAACCAAGTCCTAACTGATATAAGCTGGGAAGATATACTAAGCAACACAGACCCCAACTTATGCCTAGAACAGATTAACTTGGTGGCACTCGATGTATGCACAAGGCTTATTCCTCTAAGAAAAAGTAGTAATGTAAAATACAGGCGCTCCCTTTACAGGCGACGGAAAAGAATAAGAGTGGCTGAAAGAGGTAAATATATCTGAAATGCGTAGGGAGACACTGGTCAGAGAAATAGCAAGCATCGAACTTAAGCTAAAGGAATCTTATAGGAGTCAGGAATCGCAGGAAGAACTAAAAGCCATAAATGAAATCGAAAGAAACCCAAAGTATTTCTTCTATGCCAAATCAGTCGAGAACAACGTCCAGTATTGGGCCCCTACTTAAACAAGATGGGTCCTACACAGGTGACAGCAAGGAAATGACTGAGCTACTAAAGTCCCAATATCACTGTTTTTAGCAAACCACTAACCAGACTGAGTCGAAGATCAAAATGAATTATTTTGAGAGCCACAGAATTTGGTTAACACAAGCCTATCCGATGTTATCCTGACGCCAAATGACTTCGAACAGGCGATAAATGACATGCCCATGCACTCTGCCCCAGGGCCAGACTCGTGGAACTCCGTGTTCATCAAGAACTGCAAGAAGCCCCTATCACGAGCCTTTTCCATCCTATGGAGAGGGAGCATGGACACGGGGGTCGTCCCACAGTTACTAAAAACAACACAGCCCCACTCCACAAAGGGGGGCAGTAAAGCAACAGCAAAGAACTAGACCGATAGCACTATTATCCCATATAATAATCTTTGAAAGGGTCCTAAGAAGCAAGATCACCACCCATCTAGAAACCCATCGGTTACATAACCCAGGGCAACATGGGTTTAGAACAGGTCGCTCCTGTCTGTCTCGACTATTGGATCACTACAAGGTCCTAAATGCACTAGAAGACAAAGAATGTAGATGTAATATATACAGACTTTGCAAAAGCCTTCGATAAGTGACCATGGCGTAATAGCGCTCAAAATGCGTGCTAAAGGAATAACAGGAAAAGTCTGTCGATGGATCTATAATTTCATCACTAACAGAACAGAGTAGTCAACAGAGTAAAGTCCGAGGCAGTTTACAGTGAAAAGCTGTTCCACAAGGCACAGTACTCGCTCCCATCTTGTTCCTCATCCTCATATCTGACATACACAAGGATGTCAGCCACAGCACCGTGTCTTCCTTTGCAGATGACACCCGAATCTGCACGAGTGTCTTCCATTGCAGACACTGCAAGGCTCCAGGCGGACATCAACCGAATCTTTCAGTGGGCTGCAGAAAACAATATTAAGTTCAACGATGAGAAATTTCAATTACTCAGATATGGTAACCTCTTCAAGGGGGGCTCCTTGGCGTGGTGAAGAG